CCATTAGTCAAGGGTGCAATCGCCGAGATGAGCCGAATGCGCCGAGATGAGCCGAAGTGCGCCGAGAGATCGCACCCCGTCAGTGACGGTGCATCAAGCATGGCCGTGCACCGCCGCGCTGGCTAGTGGTGCGGCTGCGCGAGAGCGCACGCAGGAGTCGGCTAGAGACTTGCCAGAAGGTTCAGAGACCAGCCGACCGGCCGCCTCGAGCTGACCCCTTGCGACGCTCGGCTGTCTGACTGGCCCTCCGCAGGACGCACGACCGGCTGCTGGCGCGCGCTCAGATCCAAAAGCTGGAGGGCGAGATGGCGCGCGCAAAGGTGGAGACTAGCCGGGATCGCCGGGATCCGCCGGGTTCCGCCACGCGCACAGCGATTTGCAGCAAGGCTAGATTTGCAGAAGGCGGCCGCACACGTCACGATTGCCCAGCTAAGCTTGCTTGGGCGCGCTGAGGCGAGGCGTCGCAAGCGGTGCGGCTGTGTCTCCGTAGGCTGCGATGGAGTTTGAGCGGTGCATCGACATTCGCAAGCGGCTCAGCGAGCTGCGTGAGCGCAGTGGCGTCGAGGGTAGCTGAGAAGGTTGTGGCTTGTGCTTGCTTGCTGTGAGAGACGCACACACCGAAGTGTAGAGAACACACACACCTCCCTTTTCTCGGGTCACGGGTGTGCTCTCTCTTGTTGTACGTACTTTAAGCTTACTGGGAGAAAAGGGAGAGGGGGTTGTGTTAGGAGGAGGCTGCGCTGCGCAAGCACGGGCGGGAGGGGCTTCTCCTGCGGAGTCGTGCGTGCGCAGGGCTCCTCTTTGCTTTCTTCTACTCCCTACTATCATCTCGTTCCCGTCCTACCAGAGAATGTGTTCTCTAGAGGCCCCTAAGGCCTAAGAGGGGGCCCGTGCGTCTGTACGGGGGAAGCGGGACCGTGAGTTGACGGAAATCGGAGGACGCGACCCACCTCGCCACAGACGGTCCCGCGCCTCGCCGCTATGACGGCCACACGACCGCAGCTCGTGTGCGTGTCGCCGTCTTTATCCCTATCAGTTGCGTGAAATCCGGCACGGTTTCACGCCTGCTCTGCTGAGGGGAGTGGCCGGGCTCATAGCGGCGAGTCGAGCTCCTGCCTCTGGCCCCCGTATGTGATATTCCCCATGTGCAGCGAGATGATAGTAACTGCGGGATGTGGCAACAAAGTTGGGACAACCAAGCATGTTAGAAGCCTGAGCGGGGCTAAGCACACACACGGGCAGACTGCGAGAGTATCAGCATGCCTGGGGCATACGAGCCGCCAGAGCCGGTGTGCGGCTGTGCACTGCCACCTGCCCGCGGCTACGCACAATGTGCGCTCGCATTGGATGAGCCCTGCTGATGGACCTGCGTCGCCTAGCTGCACGAGAGCAATGCCGTAGGCGGCGGCCGTAGTATACACTGCGAGTATCTGAAAGTATAGAGATGAGAGTGAGGTTGAACCGGACCCAATCAAAGTCGGCGGGTTTCGGAGGGGGGGGGTATGACGAAAAACGGCGGGCGCATTTGGGCACATGACTGGGAGAACTCTGTGGTGGACCCGCTGGGCGAAAGGTTCTCGCAGACCGTTGCTTCCTCACAATGTCGTTGAGCGGAGCGAGTGCGAGCGCGGCGGCCAAGCAGCGGCACCAGGAGCAGCGGCGAGCTGACACGAGCGCGCTCGCTGATGCGGCGAGGGGGCAGAGGCAGATGCCCGAGCTGCCGCCGTACGTGCCAGAATTCGACCTCGCGTTCATGTCTCAGATGCTGGGCGTTGGAGCCGTCCGGTCGGAGCGAGAAGACCCAGCCACTGGCGACGACGAGACGATCATGCAGGAGGCCGCCGTCGCCGTTGCCCTCCAGCTTTTGACGGATGGCGAGGGGCTGCAGGCGCTGCTCGCATCTGATGAACCGAGCGCAGATAGGGTGCGCTGGAGGGTGCCGACAACGCGCTTGCAAACTCGCGTGCGAGGGTGGATCAGCTTTACGAACTGGTCAGGGCGAGCGAGGGAGGAGCGGCGGTGCGCCGCATGGGCGAGGCGCCGAAGGCGCCCACTCTGAAAACGCATTCGGCCGTTGCTGTCGCGTTCCGTGCGTTTAGCCGCTTTCTGGAGGGGAGACCGTCGGACGCGCGGATGATGAGCGCAGAGCTTAGATAAGATGAGAGTGAGGTTGAACCGGACCCGGTCAAAGTGGGCGGGTTTCGAGGGGGGGTACGAGGAAAAAAACGGAGGGGACATTTGGGCACATGAGCGACATGACTGGGGAGAACTCTCTGTGG